GTCAAATCGAGTCGAGTTTAAAATTTGTATAACTCGAATCAAATCAAATTGAAAGATTTTATAAAATAAATTTGACTTGACTTGACTCGACTCATTCGGAACTCTAATTCTATTGTAGAAGATTTTAATGCAAAAACTGACTCAGTAGATTTTGAAGACTTTTATGAGGCTAATTTTGAAAATGCAGTAATTGAGATGATTGAGGATCAAATTCCACAATGGTCTAATGAAATTTATTAAGTCTTTGCAAAAATTTGTATTGATTACAATTTATCAAATTAAGCTACAGATTCTTTTATCTATTTCTTTAACAAATATGCAAATTTGGAAGTATTGCCTTTACCAAAAAGTTCCAAAGAGATGCATAAATATATGAGCTTAATGGTGACACCAAATCTCAATTTTAAAAAAAAACATATTATTGATTATGAAAATATATCATATAATCTTCATTACCTACCAATAATAAAAAACTATCAAAGCACTTCAGATATGACTAAATAATTCACATTTAAATTTGAAGAAAAAAGAAAAGAAAATATAATATATAATTATACTTATCTTTGTTAAATAACTTATATATTTAATCTAATATATTTTATAGGATAGTAGCTTTTCTCGAGTTTTTGCTGAACAGTATAATTATGATTGGTAGTAATAGGTAGAATTCAAGTTAAAATTTGAAAGCTGATTATTGTCAATAATATTGTACTCTGATGCGACTCTCTATGACAATTTGAATAAAATTCAACAACGTTCCATTTTTATTACTTTGGGCAACATTTCTTCTTAGCAAAAAAATAAAAAAAAATGCTAAAGTATTATTAGGATATTTACCAATACTTCAAAGTAAACATTTGGCAACTAAAAATTCAGATTATTTCGAACAATTGTATATAGAGTTATGAAATAATGTTAGAATATTATGCTGTGTCCTATTCTAGAACTTGAAGAAATAAAACTAATTATTAATGGAGTACAAATTACATTTTCTTCTAGAATCTCTATGTTTTTTACGAATATACTAGAAGCCAATACTATTATATCTATTTATAAATCATCTAATTGTATAAGACTGTGTTCTAATTGTATTATACATATTAAAAACTTAAATAATATAAATCTTTCAAAAGATGATATAATTATTCTAACATCTAAATCAATGGCTTCTGTAATTCAAGAAGAAAAGCTCATGAATATTCAATCCATAATCGATATAATATTTTCTGAAAATTTCTGTAAGTAAAAAATTAAATATGTTGAAATATTTGCAAAATCAAAATTTTAATATTTTTATACTTACATTTGTTAAAGGAGCCTAAATATCTATGAAGTAACTTTGCCTAATTAGATATACCAATTAGATCTGAGTCTCTTTGGATATATGTTAGATTATACGCAAAAGCTGTTGATAAAACAGTGTGAAAAATAGACAATTGAAGAATTCAACAATCGACTTGTAGCAATTCCAAGGTTTCCAGGATTGAAAATCTTTAAGAATGGAATAACTGTTATACAAATAGCAGATGAGCATTGAATGATAATAAAAGTAATAATCTTAATAGTTGATGGTTTGTTTGATGAGAAAAATCAACAGATTATCTTTAGTTTGATTAACTTTAATATATTGTTCAAATATATCTAATGAGCTGTAAAGAAGATTTTTCAGATAATAATCTGATCGTATTTGAGATATATACCTAATTTATTAAATATTAATAAAATTTTTGCTTAGAAATCTTGTATACTATAACTCAATTTATTAAAACTATATTAT